TATGCCAAAATATTCAAGTGATTTGGATTAGTAGATAAAAAATGAAAATTCAAATATGAAATAAGGTCGTGATTGTCAGATTGGCCCATATTCAATCTGGGCCATTGGCTAACGCAGTAACAGTTAGCCTGTGGGGAGTGACTTCATGTACCGGTTGTATAGTAATATAATGCAACAACATTAAAAAATCATGTTAGGCCCATTTGTTTGATCCAAATGTTAAATTATACATTCTTTTCATTCTAATGAATAATCCCGAAAAATAAAATTTTTAAAATGCAACCTATAAAGTATGTTTTTAACCCAATTGATATAGGCCTTCCGTTTTGGTAAGATGTTCAGATTTAGGCCTTAGAATGATTTTTTTCTTTTCAAAGATTTTAGATAATTTTATTATCATTAGATTAACAATATTAAAAAAAAAATGATTTTGAATTCATAAAGGCCTAGATCTTTAAATTCATCAAGTGGACGGTCTAGATTCATTGTTGAAAGAGACTCATTTTTACCATTAATAAAAGTGCAAAGTAGTTTTTTTTTCTCGAGAGTGATTTAGCTATGGAACGGAGATGGTATCTTCATGGACAATGGTTTAGTTGTGGAATAGAGATGAGATGGTTGCTCTCAAAGTTCTCCTCTTGGATAGTGGTTTAGCGGTAGAATATAGATGATCTCTTCTTGGACAATGGTTTAATGCAGATGAGAGGTCAACGATGGTGCCGATGGGGTGACTGGATCTAAAAGGGTTTACTTGACTAAGTTTTGTCGAGGATTATGGAGGTAACTTTATGTCGCAAAACTTGTAATGTAACTTTCATTGGTATAGTGGATTTTAGTTTGCCATGCCTATGGACGTAGTTCTCTTGAGGTGAACCATGTAAATCTTTGTGCTCTTGTGGTGTGTGTGTTTTATGTTTTATTTCTCCCTCGTGCTCTCAGCTATTTTATTTCGAGCTGGATAAATACACGATATTGGTAAGATCCAATTTTGAGATTCTTTTTTTCGCATCTAAGGGGTTATTAAATCCTAACAAGTGCTATTATCAAGAACTGTTGGTATCTATCCAGAATTGCTATTATCAAGAACTGTTGGTATCTATCCAGAATTGGTATTATCAGTATATTTATAGAGTTCTTGTGTATTCTTTAATCAATAAATAAATATATGGGGAGTTCTTTGCAAATAGTTTGAGATTCTAAACATTTTACATGAGGAAGTAGGGCATTACAAAAGTGATGACAGGGATCAGTTTACAAACTCTGGCAGCAAAGGTGGAAGAGGTGTAAGAGGTAACAGTTTTGTGATATGGTGATCCTGCACGTCCATAGTGTATACACTCGTGATCGTTACAACTTATACAGGAAAACCAGCAAACATGAAGAAGAAATGCTTGAATTTTCCCTAAAAATGCAAGCAAGAGGAACTGACATGCTTTCTTGAATCGCAACGGATGCCGCCTCTTCCTGCAATTACCTATCAAATTTCACTTTAGAGAGAGAAACACAGAGAGACAGAGAGGTAGAGAGAGAACGCATTAGGTATGCCTCCGAAGAGAGAACAATTGGGTTACCATTCGAGGAAGTAAGCCAAGGGAGAAAGGGAGACTCTCGCGAAAATGTTCTGTATGTTACAAAGACATGAGTGCTCATGCCTTGAGAAAGTTCAACTTTAGTGATAAGGTACATCAAAGTACACATTATCTGAATCAGGACCTATGCAAGAACAGGCCCATATTCCTCCATCTCTCTCACTATCTCTACCTCTCTCTATCTATCTCTCTACTTTCTCAGTGATGTTGAAACTTTGTTCTTTAAATAATGCATCTTATTAGAAGTTTGAGCAGGGATGTCATTTCGAGGCTGGTATTTTTCCTGCATTCAGTGATAATCACTTACACCAAGGTCCCTCTGGATCATGCAGTAAAATACTCCCTCGGAGAAAGAGTTACTGATGGATCTCTTTTTTTATAGAAGATTTTTGGAGTTTTGAATTTACTCAAGGGTTGTAGTTTGAAGAAGGTTGAAACATTGAATTATAAGAGGTAATTTTGGTGTAATTTTTTTTTTCAGGTGATCTGAGATTCCATTTTTATCTCTAATTATAAAAATTTAGAGAAAAAAATAGTTCAAATCAAGAAGATCTATGAACACATGAAAATCTTGAATTACTAATGAAGATCTACATCCAATACATGCACGTCACGTGGCAAATGATAGAATTACTCATAAAGAGTAGGACTGGGCAAGTAGATTTTCTTTGGTTAAAGGAAGGAAAATTGTTTCATGCGGGTTGGACCGCATCTCTAAATATGCAGCGAGAGAGTGTAGAACATTCATTTTAAAAATGTATGCAAGTAGGTGCTCCATCTAAAAACAATAGAAACTAACAGTCCAAATGTTTTCTTCCTAGAATTAGTATTTCTAGTCTTTTAAATTTATTTATTTGTTCATATTCATGATCTCCATGTTACATATTACATATCCTTAAAAATTAAGTCTTAAAATTCTTCTAAAAAATAGATTTATTAAGGCGAACACATTTTTACGTATGCGGCCTTGGCCGCATAGAAACTGCGTCCTTTTGTTTGGCCAAAGGATTTTTTACACACTTTATTTTTGGGAAATTTACGTACAGACTGTTTTTATTACTAAGATTTAATGCAAAAGTCGGCCGTTATTATCTAGAAGGACGGATCCTGAAATTTTTTATTTTTTTCAGGTTTGCCAATAGTCTGATGTTGTAAAGCCCCATACATTAGAACACTCAAGTGTTTTTCTTTTCTTTTTTATATTTTTTACTTTTTACCATCTGTTCGATGTTTACAATATCGAAACGCTTGAGTTACACCTATGAATCTCTTGCTTTCTCTATTTCTCGTTTTTTGCCTCTTTTTCTCTCTCTCTCTTTCTTTCTCCAGCATGATTATTTTATCTCTCTTTACTCTATCTCTCTCTACTCTATCTCTATCTCTATCTACTCACGCTCTATCTTCTTGCTCGCTTTTTACCTCTCTTTACTGGCATCTGCTCTCGGTTCACTCTCTCTTACCCTCTTATCAATTTGAACCTTGCTTTTTGATTTGCCCTAAATTTCTTGAGTTTTCTACTACGGTTTCGTATTTGATCATCGCAAAGATATTGAAGTTGGCCGAAACAGATTTTTGATGTACTCAAAATGAATTTAAATTTCTTGTGTCGATTTCTGTTAATATTGGAACACTAGAGCTCTAAGGGGTTCCTGTCTATGTTTGCTTAATATTTTTATTTAATATGAAATTGCTACATTTATCATTAGTATAGTGTATTAAACATAAGTAACTATAATTTATGTTGATTCTTGTATCTAGATGCTCATTTTATGTTTTATCAAATCGATTGAATCAATATCTTTATGTTTCATATGCATTATAAGAACCGGGTGATGCTAAAATTTTCTATATGTAATTTTGGCTGATGGTATTTGGATGCACATTTCATGTTTTATGAAGATATTGAATCAATGTCGTGATGTTTTTTAGGTTTTTTGACATTTGGGTGCTCTATGTATGGCATCATTGAAAATTGTTCAGTGGCTCACTGGGGTATTCAATACCTTGTGAACATTTTTAGTCCGTGTCGTTTATTCAGTACCTTGTGAAATGGGTGACATTCCTTTTAGCAATTAATTTTAATGAATATTTTGGGTGCTCTATGCAATTAGTGCAGGTTTTTTTATCAGTATTTTGGCTTTAGGGTGTCTTTGACTACGGCTATCTTCCATTGACTGTACAGGGCTGTCATTTGAGTCATCATACTGGCCACAAGTGGAGTGAGGTTGTTACGTTATTATTGTGGTTCCTTTCAGAGAAGGCTAAATGATGGACGAATGTACTACAAGGACGAGAATGTGAAAGCTGCTTTGTATAATGGGAGTGACGCATTGGACCAGTTAAAGATGCACATGGGGTCTATTGCGCATTGTGACCCTAGCTATTTGACGATTATATATCTAGAAAGTGATATTTTAGTAGAAGTAAACGAAGATATAGATGTGACGTATATGTTGTTGGTGGCTTCCAATGGTCATGTATGTATTGCACATTAACCATTCGAAGTAAAAAACAGGGAACATCAAACAAATATAGCGGGTGTAACTCCATCATGAGGACCATCAACAAGGATCAGGTAATACTTATGACATATATGTTTATCGTGTATTTCAACATTTATAATTAGCACTTATTGAATCCTTTTCAGCCATCCCATTCAACCAGTGCCCTTCCCCATCATCCAAAATGTAGTACATACATGTGATGCGGACTCCGAAAGGGCGAGACACATCCGGCTTGATCCCAATGATATGCATCTATCAGATTCTCCATGCAGTTCAGTCTACTCACATATTCATCTTTATATATGACAAGAGTTCGAGGATCTTAGGCTACTCCATAATCCTTTAGCAGATTATTATATATATAAATTATTTTTCATGAAGTACCTGAAAAGCGACCTAGATCTTTTAGTTGCAATCAACTGGGGAGGGGTACAACAGGATAGTGCGATGCTCTAGAGTTCCAGCACAAATTATTTTAAGGTGAGAGAGTTGTTAAATAACCACACTTGTATGGATCAAATAGAAGACGCACCGACCGTTAGCATGAAGCCAGTAATGAAGTACTACAGTAAACTGGCATAGTGAAAAACAATATGGATAATTCCTGTGAAGGGTCTGCTGCGTTCAGCAATAGCTCTGTTTGTTCAAAGGAGATCCAAGGCTTCCTGGAAGGATCCAAGAAAGAAAACGCGCCATTACAAGAAGAAGAAGTATAGAAATAAGAATACTCATGAAGAAAGATAAACGTATCCCTAAAAATCTGAATTATTATCTCTAAAAATCTGTTGCATTATTTAAAGCAAACCCAATTATTCCACATCAACATAGCCTTGTTTGATTTAACCTAGCATTTATTTGATTTAACCAGATAAGATAATTCGTCATTAAAATAAAATCTTCTCAATTAATTGCTTGGTTAGAATTAGGATAACCAAATGATAAATGTGGTAGATAGCAGGGATGTGTGCACTCGCAAACGGTGGGAGCACTGTAATCACTACTTCCTCCCTTAAATTGATTTATGCAGAAGAGGCCGCATGAAAAAATATTGCAATTTTCCATGGGGACCTTGTTTGTGCAGTCGCCTTGTGCGATTTCCCCACCTTCAGGGCTGGGGCAGGAATTATTATAGCCAAAAGACTTCCTACTCCTGCGGACTGCTATCCATTTGTTCATTCAGACAAATGCTAGGGATACTTTTTTGATCTCAAATTTTGGCAATGTAATCTCTAAAATGCATATACTTATCCCAATTCAAAAACATTCCTAAAGAAACTATCTACGTACTAGAAAAAAATAGTGCCTCAAAATTGAATCGAGACAGTCCAATTTTTGTAATGATGCATTTATGTGTTCCTAAAACTCAAAATTCAAATATTTTATTTTGAAAATAATTGTCTAATTATTCTTATATGATTCCCAAAATTTTGGACTAAACAAAAATTTCCAAAATAAGTGTTTTAGGTCAGGGAGTGATGCACAATATACTCCAATGGGAGCATAGTACACTTGCCCATTACTATACACCCCACCAACAATAAAAATAATATTAGAGATAATGAGAGTGAGAATTACTAACTCATTGGAAAATAAATTTGAAAGAATACTAAAATGCTGACCCTGATAAACTTTAATGGTTTAAATATCTAATAGGGTCAAAGATAGACCCAAATCTAGTACTAATCCATGAAGTCCAATATTTAAGTCTAGACCCAACGAAATTGCTAGCCCATTCATTCCAATAGATGGCCTTTTGATATCATCAACCATCCTTAAAAGCCTGTTAGCTTTCAAGGATGGCTTCTTTGCCCTCACTTGCTTAATCCACTCCCTTATAGATGAACTTGTATTGATTTCATGGATGGTGCTTGTTCTTTAATGAACTTGCTTGCTTCATGTGTTTGCTTTATGGTGCGGGCATTTATGCTGGATTGATTGTTTTATGAGATAAAATTTGTGAAGCTTCTTGAGCAGACAAGTAATTCTTATAGTATTTAGGTAAGATTTCAACTGATAAGCAAGCGACCCATATTGTGTGTACAAATTATGGTAAGTATTTTAGAAAAATTCAAAAAAATGGTAAAAATAAGATAAAACTTTATCTAGAAAGCACTTAGGGTATTGGAAATCTCTATAATGGCTTTAAATCAACTTCCAATAAAGACTATGAAATTTGAAGCTAAAAAAATAGTACAAATCTTTCAGATTCGTGAATACTTTTTTTTAGGGTGAAATGAACTGTTTGGATAATGGGTTACATTATATGCTATCTTTAGGGCTACAAATCTCGATATGTTTTCACAACCATAATGGTCAAGGCCGAATAATCGACTTGAACATTTCCAATGTCAAAACTTCAATTTTTAGTGAGTTTTAAGGTGAGGTTTTACTTATTTTGATAGGGCTGCGGCTTTATCCAAACATTTTCCTTGTCTTAAAGTTATAAGAATTACATTTTCCTTTTCTTAAAGCTACAAGAAATATGTAGCGCTTCATTGTGAATGAACTCTCATTCTTAGGAAAAGAGTCGGGGCTTAATTGATTAGCACTTGACGACTTGCAACGCTACATCCTAGGTTCAATTCCTATCAAGTGTAAGGGCCCTTTCCCCACTGACTCACTGAAAAAATAATAAACTCTCGTTCTGAGAAGCATATTCTTTATAAGCTACTCATCTGTACTGTGTTGAAAAATTAGGATGAGACTTATCCCATGGGTTATCTCACATTTTAATGGATCTCACTTTCTTTTCATCGCAATTCATCCCAAAATTGAATGACTACAACACTCATGACCATAGATTTGGATAGTCACATTGGGAGTATTCATTATCCATCCAAGAAAAAAACTTAAACCAAAAGAAATTACTAAGGCAACGTCCCATTTAAAATTTCAAAGACAAAAGATGTTGCCTTTATTTAAAGCAAACCCAATTATTCCCCATCAATGTAGCCTTGCTTGATTTAACCTGGCATTTATTTGATTTAACCAGGTAAGAAAATTCATCATCATCATAGCCTTCTTTTAATTAATTGGAGTCGGCCAACATTAGGATAACAAGATGATGAATATGGTGCCTAGCAGGGATGTGTACACTCGCAAACGGTGGGAGCAATGCAATTGTTGCTTTCTCCTCCCTTAAAATGATTTACGCAGCAAAGGCCGC